TGAAATTGGTGATGAACATTGATATGTTATGTATGATTAGGATGTTATTCTTGTATGGTTGAACTCTTGATAGGCATTGGTATGCGAAGTATGTTGGTATAACTTGATCTTTATATACATTGACTTGGAGTAATGTATATAGATGATGTATGCTGAGATGTGATGATGAGAATGTTGTAGGCAATAAAACATGTTGATTGAATTAAGACTAGAAGGGAGGATGTTGTTTTGAAAGTTGAAGATCCCATATAAGGGATCTTGTTTTGGCGCTTAGGGGGGCAATTGTTGAAAAACCCTCTTTGAATAAGTGTGAAACTCTAGGAGTGAATTTTGTTGAGTCTCCTAAATCCTTAGTCAATGTGGAGGTTGTGTGGTTTCTTGAGGATAGCTAGTGAACTAGCTTCATATTGGTAATGCATGTCAAGGTCGAGGTATGCTTATACCCAACTATACCAATCCTAATGGTGGAACCATACTCTTATAGTGTAAGTGACGACACCTGAGAAATCAGATGAAGGATTGATATCCCATTTTAGCCATGGATCCAATATGCGCATATGTCATGAAAGTGATCAAGGTTGATTTAGGAGGGTCAAGCCACTTAGGCTACTAAGATATATTATGAGATCTCTATAAGTGAATGCGTGACAATGCATTAGTGAGGTGTATGCATATGATGTGTTGTTGATTGGTGTATTCATATGCATTGGTTGAATATCTTATCGTATGATATTTATGTGGTGCAAATTTGATTGCTTGGTATGTAGCTTTCAAATTGGTTGTTGTTTTAAGGATTGTCGTATGATGTGAACCTTGTGTTGTTGATTTTAAGGTTTACATATGGGTGGGTAATATAAATGTTTTTATGCATATAATTGTTTGATTCTTTTGAAATCTAGCTTATCTTTACTTATTTTCATGTGGTATGAACTGCGATGATCATACTTGGTGTAAGAGTAAAGTATGGATAGGTTGTAGTGGTGGATGGTGATGTTTTTGGACGTTTTTGAACTACCCTCTTGTGATAGTTATATAGTTTGTGCTTGACTGACACTTAGGTCATATATTTGAATCTTACTAAAATGATTGTATTTATATTGTTTATATTTATATAGTTGTTTTTACATGCATGTATATGCATGTTATATAATACATACCTAAGTATTTGTAAATGTATAATTTTAAGCAGTAATTTTCCTACTTCTAATTAGTGATTTCACAAAGTATAATGACCACGACGGGTCATTATATATCATATGTTGCGGTGCTCTGAGAGCTTGGTTGAAACCCTTCAACAAGTTGTCTTTTGAATGGGTAATTATTTTATCTAGGTTTTATGTGGTATTCGTATGTAGGAAAATTCAAGACATACATATATAAAACAACCAATTGAGTAAAGTACAAGGTCAGAGACTTAGTCCTTAATTGAGTATTGGAGGGATGTAATACTTGAAGGGTAGTTAGTGGGTTAATCTCATAAGTGACTTGTATTGCAGACTAATGTTGTGATAGACTCATATCCAAACTATTTTACCCTGACAGTAGTATTATACTTCCTAGTTTAAGTGATGAAACCCGAGAAATCAAATTAAGTTGTTAAACAAGTTCTCTTAGAGGGTTGAAGTCGTTGTCTATACCTGACCTAGTTGCAATAGGTCAAACATTGTGGTTCAATAAAGTTTAATCACTTAAAATGTTCATCTATTGTAGGATATCTCTTTAGTTGATATACGTAATGACACATTAGTTGTATATTATTATATGATGATTGTCTTGTTGAGATGAAGTTGTTAAGCACTTTATTTTGTAAGTTGTATGAGTAGTATTGGTTGCATGTTGAGATTGATGTTGTTGATTATGTTGATATCGATGTTGTACTTGTATGTTTCTTTATTTCATAAGTTTACCCTGTATTTTTTTTTTTTAATACTTGGGACTATGATGGTCATACTTGGTATGATGATAGGTCAGGATTAGCTAGTGGCTTGTCTAACAGTGGAGGGTCATGTAGGAGATGACCAACTTTTGGTTGTAGTTGCTTTGAGGTAGTGATCTTGTATAGATGCTTGACCAACACTTTAGGGTCTATTTTGTATACAATACTTACTCTTTGATGTGTATAGTTATATATATAGGAATCGATATTCTTTTCATCTCCTTACATATTATTGTATGCATGAGATTATATGTTAGATTCATGATAATCCTATGATAGATGTGTATATGTTGTATGTTTTTCGCTACATAAAAGTTAAACTACAAATATTATAGTGACCTATTGATTCATACAATTAATAGCATAATTTACATAAAGACAATATGAAGTTAGTATCCTTATTTAGTGTTAGTGTCATTAAATTTATTAAATGTTAATAAGTTTTTTTATAATTAATAAAAAGTATTTGAGATTTAAAATGCTAAAAAGCTCTAAAAAATGTGCATGTATTATGTAGTTTTGAGAAAAAAAATTAGTTTAACAAATTTTTCTATCTTTAATAACATATATAGATATATAAATATTATCGCAACCGAGATTGCAACGAGACAATAAAAATAAATTAAATATATGAAGTCGCCACCAATGTTTATTATTATGGAAAAACCATAAAATGGAAAACAGTCTACGAAAATCAAATTCTTGAGTTCAAAAGTCCATTACGTGTAAGGAAGGTATTAGCATCTTACAATGTTCGTCATAAGACGATTACCTCTAATTAATCAAGCAAACTATTATAACCTTTAAAATATTTATCTCACTCCACATGAACAAATGTTTTTATTTTATTTTAATGAATACTAAAATTATTTATTATATTATTATTATTGAAAAAAATGAGATAATATTGTTATTTTTATTTTTTTGGCTCGACAGGAGTGACTTCCTACTCCTACGTATCTCCATGTGTAATGAAGAATCAAAATCATGTAATTCTTTGGTAGAAAATATTTGTCTGTTAAATTTTTTTAATTAATTTGTTTATTGTTTTTCTTCTAAAAAGTTAGGATTTTTGAACTGTCACAGTTCATATATCCTAAAATATAAAAACTGACAAAGGTGTACACCAAAGCCATATATTTAATTATTTTTAAAATATCATTATTGTTATCAATATTATTATCATTGTGATACATATTTAAAAGATTTTGGTTAGATATCTTTTATTTTGGAGAAAAAATTAAAGATATCAAGTTGTATCTTAAATTTAAAGGTTAAAAAGATATCATATCTAATCAACTATTTTTCAATAAATCTTTGATATAATGACTTCAAATATTTATATTAAAAATTGTAATAATATTTTGATATTCAATTATATTTTGAATTTAATTAAGAATAACTTTAAGATAACAAATTGTCACAACTTGTACCTTTAAGCTCTAGAATTAAGAGAATGTCACATTTCAATAATCCTTTTTAAATGGTAGATATTATTAATGTTAATATTGATAAGAAAATATCACAGTAATTATTATTGTTATTGTTGTCTAAATGAATTAAAATTACAACGTCTAACACATTTGTATTAAGAAACAACTTAATCGAATAAATCAATTAAACTAATTTTGTTAAAACAATAAATAAATGCTATCATCTAAAATTAAAGAAATGCCTCATAATCTTGTTATTATTATTGTTATTATAGTATATATTTTAAAAAGATTTGATTTGCTATTGGAGTAAAGTTTAAAGATATCAAGTTGTCTCAACTTGTATCTTAAACTCATAGATTAACAAGATGTCACATCTAATTAACTATTTCTCCACTAAAATATTTAAATAATGACTTCAAATATTTTTATTAAAAATTATAATATTCTAATGATTAATTATATATGTTAAATTTAGATAGAATTTTTAAGATAACAAGTTGTTACAACTTGCATCTATTAGCCCTAGGATTAAGAGAATGTACATTTAAATAATAATTTCTTTAAATGATATATATATTCTCAATATTTTGTAGAATAGTTATTAATTTTTATCATTATCATTATTACCATTATTATGTGAAAATTCAACATATAATAACTTAAATAATCAAATAAAATCAATTACATTAATTTTTTTGTATATAATTTGTCAGTCTCAATTATAGAAATTTAACAGATTGTATGTTATACACCTAAAAGTTAAAACCCTCTTTTCTTGAAAATAAATGAATAAATGGGCTAGGCCCATAAGTGAATTGAAAGAAAAAAGAAACAAAACAAAAAAATATGGCCACCCAAGGAATACCATGTCAAATGGGCTTGGCCTACACATGAAATAATAAATAAAAAACAAAAGCAAATAAAAGAAAAAGGAAAACATCAGAACCCTACCACTAGGGGTGGGTATACGGACCGGTCCGGCCCGTTTAAGGCCCGGTCCGTAAAACCCGTGTTTTATACGGGCCGGATAAGTCCGGTCCGTAAAATAAATGGACTTATTTTTTAAGTCCGTATCCGGCCCGCCAAAATCTGCGGATAACGGACCGGTCCGCGGGCCTAAATAATGGTTCAAAAAAATAAATTTTTAAAAAATAAAAATACATAAAATTAGAAGAAAAAAATATTTTTTATTTATAAGCTAAATTTTATCATACTAAAATTTATCAATAGTTAAAATGGTTTAAAATACTAAATATTAAAATATTAAAATAAAAATAATTACAAATACTTAAATAATAGTACCAAACTTTCAATAATAAAAGCATCAAAATGTCATAAAAGTAATTCAAATGACAAATACCTACCAACTAAACATAATTTTAATATCATAATAATTTAAAAAATTAAATACACAACTTAATATTAAAATCATAATATTTAAAAATATTAATTAGTGAAGTCCGCGGACTAGCCCGCGAGCCCGCGGATTAAATCCGCTAAGTCCGCGGACTTCACGGGCCGGGCTCAAAAATTAGACATAGTCATACGGATTTGAAAAAAATGGGTCCGTTATCCGCGAAATCCGCGGACTTACGGACCGGTCCGCGGACCCGGGACCGGTCCGTCTACCCACCCCTACCTACCACTAAACCGTGAAACAGAAAAAGGGATTAATGAAAACCATGAGAAACCCTTCCGTTAGGGTTATGAGAGGAACTCTTCTATTTCTCTTCGAAGACGACGCACTAATGCTGGCCGGAAGAAGATCAGTGCACGATACCACTGTGGCTGGTCAAGCGCGTGAAGCGAAAAGGGAAAACGGTAGTGAAAGAGAGAAACTCGAAGGAGAGAAGAGGGTCACCGTTGGAAATTGTTTTTGACAGTGACCCACGGTGATTCTTGTGGAGATTTGTTTGGGGAAAGAAGAAGAAGCCAACACAACCGTTGAAAATCATTTCCGATGGCGGTGACTCAAGGTGGTTCTTGCATTTTGGCCACGGACTCACGGAGCACATCAGAGAGATGACAGAGTGAGTGAGAGGGAAAAGAGAAAAAAGAAAAAAAAATGGAAGAACGCACTGCAGCCGCTAGAAATCGGCACATACAACAAATTGTTGAGGTTAGTATTCTTTTCTTTTTATTCGTCTTTATTTGCAATAGAAATAAAATATAAAAAAAATCAATGAGGCACACAATCAAGTATTACTACATGCACAAAAGAAAATGTTACATCATAGTGAGTGAAGATGATACAATAATTTTGAGGTTCTGGCTTGTGCTCCTTGTCCGAGCTTTTTCCTTCTAATTATATCCCAGTTAGCATGACTTCTTTGTTCTATTTTTGTTAATTTTTCATCTTGTGTTCTAGTATTTGTAGGCGCACGATTCTTTGAATTTGATTAATATGATATATTTTCGGCCAAAATCCTTAAATTCAGGAATATGGCTTGTGGATCTGGTTAAGTAAAATGTTTGGTGACTTTTGCAGCGCATGTGTTTGCAGGGTAAGGTTGCTTTGTAACAATTGTAGCAGAGTAGTTGGGGTCACCAAATGGTATCCAAAGGAGGCAGAGGAAGATTTTGTTTTCCTTTTCTGTTTCTTCTCTTTTTTCATTTTTTTGTTTAATTTTTTATGTATTTTGATTTATAGATGAAGATAAAATTTGGAGTTGACAAATATAAATATAAATATTAGTAATTATAAATCAAATCTTTAGAATTTATAAAAATGAGAGACCGAAAGTTATCTTTATTTAAAGTTTTTTTTCGTGTTTCTATATGAATTTGACAACTAAGCATTTGGCGTTAGTTTTATTTTCATTTAATATTTTGACTTAATATTTTGACTGAATATTTATAACGATTATGAATTATGTATTTTAAATAGAGAAGTACTAATTCATACAATACATATATGAAGTAATTAATTTTGTCGTATTTCTCAAGAGTCTCCTCTTTATTAACTAATTAACACATATATCATGGGTCTAATGCTTCTCAAGAGGTTCAGCTTCCTTTTCCTCTTGATTTCTGTAACGCTTCTATCTGTTTTTTCCGCAGGTAAGTCTTGTTCATTTTTACACGGTCACACATTGACATATCAAAATTATATATTCTTATATAGTTAAAGATATGAGCCTAATTTTTGAGCTAATGATTTTGTAGTTGAAGTATCTATGAGCTCAGAAATTGTTGGTTGATAAATAAGATTGGCCTAATTTTTGTTTAATGATTTGGTAGTTGGTCGATCAAAGCTAATCAATAACGTTGAAGATAATAAAGAAGACATGATCAGTATTGAAGAGAGGGTTCTAAGGGCTAACACACAAGACTATGGAATATATGATCCTCCACCATATTATTCTAAGCCTCCTGCGAAAGGCGTGCCCTCATTTGGTCCAAAACTCCCTCATCCTCCTCCTCGTAAAGGCTCATCTACAAATCGTTTACATCAACCATCGAAAGAAATATAAAATGTAATTCACATTTTTAAATTAATAATATCAAGCATATGCATGTTTTATATATGATTAATCGTCAAGTGCGTAAATTAATATATTGATGTGGAATTGTTAGAATCTTAAACATATCAACCGTACCTATCTACAAATCGTTTACATCAACCATCGAAAGATATGAACTTTCAATTTAACGGTTGAATTTACAAAATTCACATTTAATATAAAGTTATTGAGCGGTGTAATATTTAATAAAAGTTACACTAGCATCATTTGAACCCTCATATATATATATATATATATAGTTAATCATTTATACA